CATATGTCTACACTGAGCACAAAATTATTGATTACATCAAGATTTGTAAATAGTCAAGACATTGATGTATTTCAGATCTTCGCTTAAGTAAAATAAGTGAATGAATACTTATGTATACATTGAAATCTGACCTAAGTTTATGTTTTTTTGAAAACAGTAAAATGACTATGTTCTAGTCACATGTTTAAAAGTCTTATAAGTGATAAATGGTGTGTTGGGAATAGTGTCCACTGCTTATACAATAACAACTTTGTTATTCATCAAAGTCTAAGAGTAAGAACAACCCAATTCGGACTGTAAAAGTGATTTAATGAAAATCAAAAGAAGTTCATTCGAAAATGTTTGGAAGAAACACACTCTGAATAAATTATAAAAGCTTAGACCTCGAATCAGTTTGAAATTACAAAGCATATTTAGATAAACAAATATTTTTGGTTGATAAGAAAATCGTTATTTGTTTATATGTTTTAAAGCCAACTTTTAAAATGAACTATTGTCAAAAACGAAACCTTATAAGGAAATAACAAGGCTTCTAGAAGTGACTAAACACTATCAGTTTCATCTGGAAAAATGTGTTCAACATTTCTGTACATATTCACATCGATCAAACTTGTTTTAAATTAATACTGAAAATCTCTATAGAGAATCTGACATCACTAAAAATATTTATGTAGGCTGTAAAAGTATTTTTTCCAAACTTTAGCATCGAATTACATTCACGACTTTGTAAAACTACTTCCATTGATGATAAGTATATATCAACTACTGAGTGTTTTGTAGGACATAACCAAAAAATGTACCTAAATATCCTTCACATACCCCACATTCTAGATTAATTGATTTCTATATTCCCGTAAACCATCTAAGTTTTAATTCATTTTCAGCATTCATAATCTATGTTTAATATGGTAAATATTTCTTTGGTACATTTAGTGCTCATATTGTTTATAAATGTTGTGATATTTAGTTTTAGAAATTCCATCTGAGTTTTTCACCATAATGAATAAGAGGGGCATTATCTTGTCTACACATTAAAGTAAATGTTTACGAGAACCCGAAAATGTAGGATTAATATAGAAACATTTAAATAAATGGTATCAATCTTTGAAAAAACTGTGATCTAGTAAACATATTTTAATTAGAGAAATGTAAATTTTATTTCAAGCATTGTTTACATGTAATAACTAGTTAGCTATCTTGACTTATGATTAGAATGGGACTATATTAAAAATAGCAATTATTAAACGAACACAGAAACTGGTATCGGTTGGTTAAATCAGGTACATTTGATCTAAGTTGTTTAAAAAACAGTTTGCTGATCGTTCAGGAACTTAAAAATGTGATTTGACAATAACTTACTACTATTACGATAAAGAAAAAGCATAATGGTAGATGATATATAAAAGTCGGTGAGTAGCCTTTTGGACAAATGTGTATTATTTGGAGTTCAAAAAAATTAAATATATATTTTTTAAGGGATTTGAAATAGTAATATTTGGATTGGTAATCCGAAATACTTTACTGAATTACCTAGAGAGACTGAAGTATATGCATTCGGCAGATTGCCTATAACATAATCTAAGAAGGACAAGCATTTTATTAGTGCTTTGCTGATCCCTATAGAAGATAAAATCAGTAGTGAGCAAACTTTAGATATTTACTTTTCGAAATTTAACTTAATATACCAGTCCTTTCTCCAAAATATTTTGTATTTGAGTCAAATTTTTGTTGTTTGGAGCACCCTTTTAAAATAACATTTTGTGCTACCATAACCAATTGAGTAACCTTAAAACTAATCTACGTTTATTTTAAATTAAAATGATTTCATTCACTGAGATCTTCAAAGTTTTATCCATTTTCCTTTGCAAATTATAAATGCAAATAAATGATAATATTACCAAGTAACAGTTTGGCCGGTGTTTGATTTAAGATAATGACTATTTGTTCATCATATGGTGTGAAAAATATGCTCTCAAAAAGTGTGCCATTAATTTCATTTTTGATTAATTATTTATAAATACATAGGATTATCATTTCAGAACATTTTGGGGATTGCGAATAACGAGAACATTATTCAAGGACTGTTATGAAGAACGTCATACTAAAGGATTTAAAAGTTAATTATTAATTAATACCGTGTTTTAAGTGAAAATAATCATCCATTTATATTATTTATGATGATGTTTGAAAGTTTACTGGGAAAATACGTGTACAGACTTTTTTAAGACGTTTAACGGACCGAAAATGTGAAAGGCTAAACGGATCAAACAGAAATGAATGGCTGTTTCATCAAACACAGGACATTCGGCCACCGTCGAAAGTGCGTTGAATTTCAACCTTTTCGCAGATACCTAACGGTCTACGTTCTCAACTTCAACGAATTCACGATGTAACCGGAATGTTATCCAATTCTATCAGTAACAACTTTATCAATCCCATCATAGCCGAAACATGCCGGTTACAACCTCGGAAACTCATCTTTTAGCCAGTCACTAGTGGGTGGAAATATATAACTAGGATATGACAGCTGAATATCTTGGCTAAGGGTGTACTGTTCAATCGAATGTTTATTTAATGTAATTCAAAAATCTAGTCAAAGTCGGTCTATGAAAGTTTATTTATACTGCTAAGTATACCTGAGATAATATAAATCAACAGTCTTACAACAGAGGTCTGTTTATAAGAAGCTATGCATATTCCGAAACTTCATTCTAATCACAACAATACTTTGTGTTTTGCACTTTTATGTTCAGTTTGATCAATAATTGATCATAAAGCGATAAAATTTTGACACTTCTACTTTAAATTACTCTCTAAAGTTTTCATTAAAAAGTTTTGTTTAAATTTATTACTGGTAATAAAGTTGTTTGTTGTTATCAGGTGTATATAAACAGCTTAACAGGTGTTTTCAACATATCAACAAGAATAGAATTTTCACTTAACATTACATCATCATTTTACAATTTGATGTTAAAGTTATTCATAAATATTATCTGATTATTGAACAGTTACTGAGTCTTTTCATAATTATTTTCATGACCAAGACTGGAAGTTAATCTAAGTAGGTTTCTATAGCTTCCCCCCCCCGCCCAAAAAACACTAAGAACGGTACATCTCATTAAGAATGATGTACACATCTCCATACCATGTATTTACTTGACTAACTATCAATTTTTTAAATTAAATGTAATAAACTTTCCTATGGATAATGGAACTTCTTCAAAGAAAAATTAGTTTACTATTTTTAGCTTCTAACGGCTAAAGCCTAGCTATTTTCCTAATTCAAAATAATTCACAAACATTTTATTTTTGTACCGCAGAAAGCATCTACTTAAATAAATGTCAAAAGTTTCTACATAGTCCTAAAATCTATCTTTATTTGAAAAAAAATAATGAAATTTAGTTTGATAGTAATTCATATGAGGGGATATGCATCGAATCCAATAATTTTGAACAATTAAGAAACTAAAATTCCTTTTATAAGCATATTTTATTCATAATTCAAAAATCATAAATGTCAAAAGACATAGTTGTCTGTGTATGGTGGTAGTAAAATGAAGTTTCTTGGACTGACGAGTAATTTATGGGCCGAAACAGATACAACTGCTCTAGATGTCTTAAATACTTTAGATTATAAGATTTCGCTGTACATGTTACTGTTACTTTAAATAAAGGGCTGATAAATCTAACATCTGTTTGAGAAGTAGGGTTGATAAGTAACCATAAAATAAAATGAGTTCATGTTATTCTGTTATATTTATTGTTCTTTATTAAGATTTGTCAATAGGAGAAGTTATATGAAATTAAATAGTACAATTTGATCATTTTTAGATACTACTTATGTAAATGGCGGCCTGCTTGAGCATCTGGGCTACCTGTTCCTGCCATCTAGATATTTCAACAAGTTATCTATTTTTGTTTGTTTTAATATATCATTATGTTTATCAATCGCATAACCTATTCTGCTGCGTTTCTGAAAAGTGTACAACCTTTCTATGTCAAAGTTACAAAAACCTCAATAAGAGACAATGTGGTTGCTCGCAATATACAACGAAAAGAATGTACATTATTCAGATGTTCATTTAGTGAACTGCTAACATCTAACTGGCGATCACTCAATATTTATCGCCAGGACCGACCAAGAAGAAAGAAACGGAAACTTGTTGAAATACTTTGCGCTGAGGATTCTGTATTGTACCAAAGATATAATATTAAATAAAGCTGATGATAATAATAATAATAATAATAATAGTAATTGTTCAGAACACAACATAGATAAGTTTGTGAGTTAACAAAAGGAAAAACAATAATTTTTTAGTGTGAGGATAACTTTTAAGTGCAGCACTCATCTGACTTTTAATTCTGGTATATAATACAAAGCTAAAATGCTGATTTCTGATTCTCATAAATGTATTTTAAAACTAAACAGTGTTTTATATACTGATATTATAATGTGAATGGAGCTTGTGGTGGTTCTTAGTAGAACTTTCAGCATACCAGTATTAAATTAAAAATAATAAAATGTGACCTTAACGAAAAAATAATATCTCTATAAAAAATGGATGTTGGATACTATTGGATGTGAGTTATTTCAGCCATCTGGTGAATGAAAAGAATCAAAAATCAGTTCATGTTTGTTTAATCATTTTAGTGAACTTTATTGACTTTAGTGTCGCTTTTGGCTGTTCATGCAATGTTGATCTATAATGAAAATTATTTTTGCTTTGCTAGTATTCTTGCGAACTATTCAAATGTAGAGTACATTTCAATACCTATCAGTGAATGATTTCTTCGAGTGATGATTTTGTTAGATATTAAACTGGGTGAAACTAAACGAGACAGTGATGCTTGATAATAGACTTGATTTTCAGCTTGATCTTGGGCAGGGGATGTGATAAAGCACTACTTAATATTAACAATCTAAGGTAAAATAAAGTGAAATGATTTTTATTAAGTTTTACCAATATATTTTTCATGTACAATGATTAATTTCTTTGTAGGAATGAATATATTTGTGGCTTTTTTTGTCTTATTATTACTACTTGCTGAGTCTACACCAAGTGCCGTGAAAAATTTTCCATTGATCGGTAAGTAATTTCAATAATACAACGAAATCATTGATTCGTTCTACCAATATTCATTTGCTTTTACCTTTTATACCTCATTGAAGTTATAAAGTTAAATAATTCTGTTTAGTTGACTTAAATTCACTGTATCATTTAGTAGTATATCTTCATTACTTTTTTAAAAACTTTAACTCTCAATTTGTTATCACATTATAAATCAATATTGTTCAATGATAGATGAAAAGGAACAGTAATCAATCTTAATTATTGAAAGTCTAGACGATTTTGTAATCATCAACATATAGTGACTTAGAAACTGACTATAATCAAGTTCAATTTAGCTTATTATAGTTTCTTAAATATTTCTTAACTGGTTTGTATATACAATTCCATATTGTTATTATTGAAGTGATACATATTAATTTCAGATATGAATAGATTCATTATCTTCTTTATAGTTTAATGAGATATTAAATATTCATAATGTTCAATTTGTTTATTGTTGAACGGTTTAAAATGAAAAGCATTATATTTTGTTATAATTTAACTATAATATCTGTGTGTGCAATTAACTTCATTTAGATAAAGTCAATTTAAATTAAACAGTATGTTTAACATAGCCAAATAAAGAAAAAACAAAATTTTCTTTAGAAAATCCTATACTAATCCCATCTTTATTTGTTATTTAAGTTTAATTTGTTTAATCTGGTTGGCGTTCTTTTTTGGTAAGATTTTTTTTTCTACGGGATAGGGTTGACGATCCTATGCTCAACCCTCCTCCTTTACCCGGGCTTGGAACCGGCAGTAACTCTAGAAGAGTTATAGACGGAGTTCGTTATTTAAGTAGTAAACTTAAATAATTTTGATATTTTTTTGAAAAAGATATATGATATTTTACTTGAAAATAAAATAATGATTGAATTTAGATTCATAAAACTGATATAAATCAAATAATCTATAATGATATTATTTTTCTTATAATTAGTTCTACTAATCTGTAGTCATTAACATAAACTGTCTAATCGAACAACTGGAACTCTTGTAAAATCTACACTTTTAGATATCAAGAGATTATTGAAAAATCTGTGATTGAATTAGAATTATTACATAAATTTAATGTTATTTATTCCATTGTAGGTGTATTTTTCTGTTTAAATATGATCATGATCACTTTATCAACATTTTTAGCCACCATGGTTATCCATCTTTATTTTCGTGGTGATCGTAAAGGTGCAGTACCATATTTTCTACGTCGAGTAAGTGTTGTGTTTCATACATCTATATGATTTAATGCATCATTCATTCAAAAATGACATTAAAAGGGATACATATTTCAGTAAAATAAAACCAATCTGATTAACATGTAAACTTATATTCTACATTTCATTTAATTTTTCCGTTGAATATTCTCATTGTTTTTTGTAAAGTTAGTTCCATTTCTACTAAGCTGTTTATTACTTTTTCAATACCAACGGACAGAAAGTTAAGAGTAAGTAATAATTCATTTCTATTTTGTAAGTGAAGTACACTTTTGTTCCGTATGTATTCAGTACAGAAAATGAATCAAAAAACCAGTTAATAATAGCAATGTTTTTTAATTGATCAATATAAAGATACTTTGCATCACGAGTTGAAGTTAGTTATACACCAATTAAAATCTAAGAAACGCTAGAAAGCTATTAGTTTCCTAACAAGATTTCATCCCAGTACTGCTAGGCTAAGCGGGAAGCATGTTACTATCGATTCATTAAGCAGCATAAAATGGTCCATATTTTCCACTTGTCAATTAACAAAAAATCTCAAAATTATAGGCGATAAATGTCTCGATCTCGTCATTGCTGAACTTGATTATTCAAGGACTCTTATTAGAACTCCGAAATTTTATTTCCAATGCTCAATTAATATTTACAAGTAAGAAAGACTTGTTGAAACTGTTGACCTCGTAATTTATAGCAAATCAAGGATTCGAGGTCTTGAATTCATTCCCCAATGGGGACGTAAATACGTACTTTTGAGGAATCCTATATTTCAATGAAGTTGATGTCATTCGTTTCGTGGGTTCTATTAGGAATCTAGACAAATCAAGCTCCACAAACCTTCCAAACCAAGGGATGACAAATGTTTGATTTCTGACTAGTTATCAAAATAGTGAAAGTAAAATCGATAATTATTTTAGATATTTGTATTAATAAATAAGCAACTCAAAGATAATTTACATACTATTTACAACTAAATATGGATTGGGGGAAGTATGATATAATTAGAACATTAGTCCAGTTTCCAGTGAATAATTTCACAGGATTTCACACGATCAGATCCTTCAATAAATTTAGACAGAGCAACAACAGCAAGGTTTGAAGAATAAAATGAATTTATTTCAGACTGTATGAAGCTGATAAGAATTTGTTATAGAATGGATTCATTTCATTCTACAAACCTTGCAATTTTTGCTGTTTAAGTTTCATAATATTTAGGCTTTGGATGTTTAAAGGAGATATTGAAAAGAACATGATATAAAAATATGAGCGAATGAAATAAACTAAGTTTCATGCAACTAGTTCCCTTCATGAATTTGCATAAAGCTTTATTTGAACTACTTATCCATTACTTAATCATTTTTAGATTATAATAGAAGGGATTGGGAGACTAACATTAGTAAGACAAAGAATCCCATTGCCAGATGTAAAGAATTCAAAAAGGAATGTTTTTGCAAAATATCACAGAAAGACTCTTATCTCCCAAATATCTCCTGCTAAAACCAAACAGGCTTATCAAAACAGATGTAAAAATGAACAAAACAGATATTTTGGGGGTGGATTTTTCCCGCAATGTAGTGAATCAGTCAATCAACCTGCTTGTGGAGATCAATATTTCGAAAATGTCACCACTAACTGGTCTGGTTCAAATGAATTTCAAACACTTAAAGAATATTCTGGGAAATCCTGTCCACATATGATGAAAACGTCAATCAAACTTAATCATCGAATACCGGAAATTTTACAGCAAATTATGCATAATGATCATAATATGAATAATTATCCATTCAGAATGATAAACTATGATGAATCAGAAAGTTTTAATTCAACCACTACACTTGAACGTGATGTTAGAGAACTGAAAAAATATGTTAAAATAGTAGTTAATCGACAGAAAGAAACAACTCATAAAAGTTTAATAGCTATGGAATGGCGTACTTTAGCAATTGTTTTAGATCGTTTATTTTTCTTCATATATATTACTACTATTCTCATTGCGGTTGTTGTTTCAGTACCATATAACATCGAATTAGAAATACCAGAAGAATTTCAAGATTCAGAAGAACGAGTAAAAAACTGATGAGTTCTTTTTTGAGGAATATACATAATTTGGTAATTCATTTCCATATCATTACTAGATTGTGACTTTTTGGAAGGAATACAGAAAAACACAACCATCACATCGTCTTCTCCCGTTATTTGACTTATTAAATAATACATGATAGTTATATATATATATATATATATTATATATATATATATATATATTTGAAATTATCATTTTTCCACCAATTACATTAAATTGACTTACTTTCTTTTTCCCAATCGAATTGAAGAATTACCAAAACGTGGACATTTTTATTCCTGATAAGCACTTTTATAATGATTTATTTTTCTTTAAAATGCTAAGAATTACATGTGCTTTTATTATTTAAAAAAATTGGACATTTTATTCATAAAACTACTTACAACAACAAGATGGATTTATCGATTGTAGGAACTAAGTAAACATCTAAGTTGTAGTTCTGTTTGTTATAAGGATATAATAAAATCGAAATTATCTGATTGGAGTGTTTCGAGTTGTTGTGAATTGACTTGAGTGAGTCAAGAGGAATTAAGCGAAGTCCCATCCTAGAGTGAAATACTTTAAGGGTGATTATCTAGAGCCCTGAGCTGTATAAAACTCCGAACTTTTAGGTCTCGAGACGATTTCTTCCGACTATTTCGCTACCGATTCCATCTACCAACACCAGTCAACGGTCCCAACCGAAACCTTATGTAATTGTTCCTGAACAGATCCCCTTGTCAGCAAGCTTATTATTGCTTCTATAGAAATGTTTATCAATAGGCTATTTTTTTAATTTTTTCTATCAAATATATCAACTTAATGTCTTGTTCTTTTGAACCAAAATAAAATCCTTTGTGTATTACTATTCAACAAAATCTATAAACTATTGGGTGTAAAACTTGAAAAAGCATATTACGAAATATTGGCTCTTAGAGATTTATTGGTGACAGTTTTCATTCACTCTTAAAATATGGCGCCAATCATTTCATCAGTGATATTAGCTATACTTTTGAGAATATCGGAATTGGGCAACTGAGACTTCACAAATCATCATAACATTATTGATGCCTTTTTAACAACTACAAAAGACACAGTATCATTTCTTCCTCAAACAACAAATGTTGGTGTGAAACATGTTAAAAGACATACAGAAGAAGCTAATTAAGCACAATCGAACCAAGTGTGCTCAATTTCAGTTAATATGAACTATCTATCGCCCGAAATCTGACTCCGATTGGATCGTATTATCGAAATATACATCTTGGTTACCCTCATATATAATCGTCGGCATAACTCGCATTAGTGAATAACAGAATTAAATCAGTCAAATACGAAAATGAATTTCGAATACATATATTTCACACAATCGTTGATCTGGACAGACAATCAGAGAAGAGAGAGCGAAGCGAAATAACGCGCAGTAGTGGCGAATGAGTCAATACGATTTAATCAAGTGTGACTCAATATTCACAGTCAGACAAAAATAAGTTACAGACATGTGACGAATAGAGTAAGCGATACTGCTGGGAATGCTTGATCCCCAGAAATTACTTGGTAAACGTCATGTTTCTGTAATTTGAATTTCTCATTCCCGCACCCATCCTTATCCTGATTGTATTTCCCGTTTGAAAGGACCCTAAGTGTCATTGGTTGGTTGCCACTTTTATTACGCCATTTTGTGCAGCATATATACGCTTGGGTTGTGTGCTTCTGGCTGCTTACGCAATATACTTTCCCTAATCTTAACCTTGACTTCTCCCTCTATTTAACCGGGCTGGGACACATTGTAATAGTTTAGCTATCTTCTCGCTGAACCTTCGTTCCGTTCGCTAATTTTTAGGTAATTTTGTAATCAGAAGGGGTTTGTGGAGATTTTTTTAGAAATTTTCACAGATTGAAATCATGAGTCAGTTGAAGCTAGACCACCATTGGAAACCTGGAAGCACTGGACGGCCGTTTCGTCCTAGTATGGGACTCCTCAGCAGTGCGCATCCACGACCCCGTACCACGCGGGGCTCGAACCCAGGACCTACTGGCTTCGCGCGCGAGCACTTAACCATTAGACCACTGAGCCGGCATCCAACGGTGTTAATGTCTAACTTCAACCAATCCACGAAGTTGCGCCACCATATACCATTGTCTTCAGTGAGCTGATATCTCACAACAGACCTGGTTGTACTCCACTGGTAACGGCTTCCCACTAGAACTCCAGGAGTATCTCTTGAAGTCAGTCACTAGTGAGCAGATGATTATTATCAGAAGGGGTTTGTGGAGATTTTTTAGAAATTTTCACAGATTGAAATCATGAGTCAGTCATGATTTCAATCTGTGAAAATTTCGTAATCCCTTCGAAGATAGTAGATACACGCACACACGATCATGTAAAATCAGTCAGCGTTAATAAGTGAATAATGAGCAAGATCAAAATGTAACTTGGGGAAAACAAATCGGTCTGTCCAGAAGCCAGAATAACCTAAGTGGGCTTGACATAGCACCAGCCACTACAAGCTCTTGTTTTTTTTGAACGCATAAATATTGGTACAAGAGGGCACCAAATATATATGCCTCACTACAAGCTAACACCTTCATGAATTCTGTAATTGCACAATTTACAGTACTCTACTGGTATAATTTGGTTAATTAAAACGATTAACAATGGGCTGACGAAATCCTGTCCTTTTGAATCCGTTCACTGTGTGGTTTGTATTCCCCACGCACAGATAGTTTTCATTTGTTACAAATGAACTTTGACAAACTTAGTCAAAGTAATGAGTATATGGATTATTAACTTGAACCCCGCCACAACTAGTTTATTAAGATTTTAACACTATGAACAACCAACCATTATGGTGGGTGTATGACAATCAACGGGGAAAGTCAGCAATCTACATTAGCAATCAATCGACATGGATCTACATAGGTCATCTGAAAATGAGTCAGAAAATTCCATTTTTCAAAGAATAATAGCCCAATTTAGTCACAAACTCCCGACGTTAGAAAAACACTATTGTAAGTCTGCTTATTGTCACTTTCCTTTTAGTTTTTAATTACAACAAAGCTTCAGTTTAATGGGATAGAATGTAATGTATTTCAAGTAGTGGAGAACACGTTCACCAACTTTTATAGATTTCAAATATAATCAAACTGTAATCCTCCAAAGCGTAATTAAAATATATGGTAAGTATGAAATAGTATTTTATCAAACTGACTCGGTAATTAGCGATTATTCTTATATAATGTTTTAGTAACAAATTCCGGGATCGTTAAGTTAATAACTCTAGAGTATCGACAACTGAATTATTCAGTCAACGTGGAATCCTTATATCCCAGTACTAATAAAACTAGTTGAAGTCATGTAGTTTTACAGCTTTTCAGTTGTCTCCGTCAATAAGGTAGCGGTTGCCTTTCGAACACTAAATTAATTTCATAATTAGATATTTCGATATTCAGGTCCACTATAAAATGGATAGGCAATATTAACATTCATTTGAACTGTAAAGCTATGCCCCATTAACCTTAATTTTTTTGGATTCGAAAAAACCGAAAACAAACCAGGTAAAGCTTTGACACAATACTGTTTATGAAGTAAGAAAAAATAAAAACATAACAATGAACACGAGTAAATAATGACAATGGTGAATAGAGAATACACGAAAAGACAGTAGGTACGTAATAAGTGATGATGACAATGAAACTGCGTATACAAAACGAATTACAATTTGTGATTTAGTCAACAGAAAACAAAACATTTATGGTTGTATAGCTGAAATCATAAGAACATAATTTCGTAAGTTTTTACGGATGTTGAACAAGAGAGTTTAGCTGAAACAGTAAGCACGTTGACCTTAAGTAGTGTGTACTGATAAAGTGGTTGGCAATGATAGTCCACAATTACAACCATTAATTAGTCCGTCAGTCGGAGCTAAAAGCAAACGGAAAATCCAAGTGATTAGTGCAGTAAATTAAATATGTCAAAAAGATCTATTTACCTGTTTTATGTACAAATACGTTAAATAAGACCTCTCTAGATAAGTATGCCACCATAAACTGAACTCCATTAGGATCTCGTTACTCTCATGGTGACCGGTGGGTCAAACATGACACCATAGAGCAAACTAGCAAGAGAGTAAGTTATCAGGTATATGTGATGCTAAATGTTTCTGAGCTGAGGAAGGGTGAAAGATATCTTGAAATTTTTGCTCTAGGAGCATTAAACTAGATTCGACCCAATGTGTATGTGCAATATTAAGGTTTCATGTCATTTCCGTAGGTCAACCGTTACCTTACAAAACAAAATACGCTGAAAAAAATGTATCTATTTCAACAAATGTCAGTAAAAACTTTTACTATATCACCACTAAGGACGAATTAATTTAATGTTATCACTGGCAAGAAAAGTAAATATCCAGACTTTATAAATATGGACAGAAAGTACAAATCACACTGACCTATGCTTTTTATAGACAGTTAATGTAGGAATGAATTTCATCGCAAGGCAACAGACAGTGAGGCCTGGATTATACAGCTTGGTTATATATAATTATTGCATCGATAATCTTAAAAATGTATAAGGAAGCCAGTTCAATAAATTAGGTTGAACTGGTCAATTATATTATGAACTACCTGGAAGTTATATTACAATGAGAGGATATCATATAAACAATGACCATCTTCAGTGTTGCTAATTCCGAGACGTCAAAACAAATAAACCCACCAACAGAATATATATAGTATATTAAATTGTCTAACATACATTTGATAAAAGTAGACTTACCAACTATTCATCAAAAGAAATAGGCATGTTGATTGTTTTTCTCGCGTGTAAATGATGGATATTATGGGTATGATTTCCTCAAGCTACCTAGAGGTACTAATTGATCAATCCATTTACCACGAGATCCTCGAGATCGAGCAATTAAAAAGTAACTTTGTAGTGTAAATTGCAGCATATTAGTGAATCACTTGGAGAAATTCATACCCATGCCGTCCATCCTTCATACATGAGAGCAAGATTATCAACATTAGTGGCTTCATGAATGCAAGCATCTATTTGAGCACTGATGGACATTGATTGATCCGTGTTAGCAGTAGGTAAAAACGAATCAAATCCATGCAAACGATTGTAGATACGATTCCAAACAGACAAAGCCGTCATGTTTAGAGATCTTCCTGAAAGTATAACCTAGAGATGAAAAGAAATAATCATAATATAGATATAGAAAAGACAAAGTTAAGACATATAGTTCACAAGAAACGAAGTATAAAAGTTCAAACTGGATTAATTACCTTTTCAACCTTCGGTGTTGGTTTAGGTTCAGTGATTTCTACCTCCGACTCCTTCATTTGAATAAACATAATCTCTTTGATATTTCTGTAGTGTTCATTGAGCATATCCAAGAAACCTTCTAGAGAATGATATAGATGTGGATTAGAGGAAACATTTTCATAAATTCCATTTAGCAGAGGTTTGATCAGTTCTTCCACAAGCTTACATTTAACAAGTAAACAATCTTTATTGAGAGAAGTTGCAAATTCAGTTTCATCTATTGTTTCACAAGGTTCACATGGTTCCGAAGAAGTAGATCTTCTGACTGAAGGTGAGAACGAACTAATAAATTTGGTTAATCTTTTTAGAACACTTAAAACGATAGTAGTCCAATTTTGATGTCCGTCTAACCAAGCGCTCCAGATAGATGTAGTACATGTTTCACTGAGCGATATCTGATCGGAACGTAGTAAATTGAGTCGAACAGAATCATAACGGCTGAGAATTTTTACGATTTGTCGAATATCAGACAATTTTTCTTTTTGTAATGTACTGAGCTGAAATCGTAGTGATGCTATCATTGTAGGTTGCTTAGCGTTAGTAGATGCCTCAGAAGAACATAAAGATAATGAAACAGTGGGTTGTAAAGTAGGTGTTGTTAAGCGACAAGATTGTGGGTTGCGATTAACTCTTTTTGGAATTACTACCGGTGATGATGATCGATTAAAGCTAACATCGTTTAACGGCTCCGATTTTAAGTCCATCTCATTGAACTCTTCCTTTATAAATAAAAGGCGTTGATGTAGTTTGTTGACTGCTAACTCCGCAGAATTAAGATCGCTTTTAACAAGTTCAAGTAAGTTGCTTTCGACAACTTCATCTGAATGTCTATCAGATGATGATTGAAACCAATCGTGAATCGGCCACTTCAGACCGTACGTGTCCTAGAAATAAAAATCGGAATTTATTGAGTGTGGTTAATAATAATACTAATAACAATAATACTCCGTAATTAATCTTTTCACAAGGATACTGTATGCAGAGAATTGTTTTCGTTGTGAGTAAACCTTATGAAAAACAAACAATTTTAAGTTTGAACTGATTCTCCAATCTGAACAGTTAGAATTATTTTGAATCATTACCGATGCACACGAAAATGGAGAAGGTAAATGCAGTACCTTGACTAATTACACTGGAAGTAATTGGAAATTATGTAAACCATTACGAGTAATCCT